TTTCTTAAAAAGCAGTTGTACAGTCTAGTGGAGTATATAGAACCACCACCTAGTGTTGAAGTATTATTTATAAATTTTAGGAAAATATTAGGTCTATTTGAATCAAAATTATTAGAGTAAAGCTGAAACGTGCAAGGTTGTCTTAAAAAACTGTCACCGGTAGCATAAATAGCACCTCCTAATGACAGTGCTGTATTATTTTTAAAAGTAGCATTTAATCCTTCCTTGAGATACACTTGGCTATTACCTAATAGTGCTAGCGCTGTTCCATGATCAGCAATATTGCTATTGAAGAATAGAGTCCCTTCTAGAATAATTTTTGAATCAATCATTGTGAAAACTGTTCCATAGTTATGAAAAAATGAGCCAGGTTTTGATGTTGAGCCATTAACTGTAATGAAATTTACATTTGAAAAATGGAATAAATCTATAGGAATATAAACTTTTGCTGATGACTTAACAAAGGTTAAACTTGGGTTATTGTATGCCACTATTGACTCCATGATGAAATGAACATTGTTTTTTGCTTGTTTTATGTAATGATATACAAAGACAGCAGCATATATGCAGGCTCCAGATTTTTGTGCATTGTTTTTATGAAAAGTTGCATTACGAAAAAGAAATGATATGCTTGGATGTAAGACATGAATTTCATCATCAGTTCGGATGATTCCTATATCTATTGCCCCTGAGCTTTGTGGCAAATGTTTTGTGAATTGAATTCCGTTATGGGAAAACAATGTATTTGTGACTGTCAATGGCTTGTATTCACTCATTGCGGGCCTTCTATTGTCAAAATAAAAACTACCTGCTATTGCAGCACCATGACAATTTCCCATTATCATTGAATTGCTTGTAAATTGTGAATTGTTAATTACTGTCTGTGAATCATGTCTTGAAGTAAAACGAACTAGTAGTAAAGCTGCAGCTAGAGAGCCCACATTATTGCTTAAGCTACTATTAGCAATAGTAACAGTTGCAGGTAGATCAGTTTGCGTATACAAAATTGTAAAACCAGCTGCATTAATAACAGGCATAGAAGAAAAGGAATCATGACGAATTTCTGAGACACATACTATTCGAGTATTGCTGTAATATTGATTGAAAGCAAAATTGTATGCAAAAGTGGAATTGTTAACTCTTAAGTTATATTTACTGCTGAATGAAAGGTTTGATGATTTCGTGTGATTACAAAAAAGAACAAGCATTCCACTTCCTATGCTAACTCCTCTAAAAGCAGCTAATACATAGTTTTGCGAATAACTAATCTCAAGACGATTAAATGAAGCATCTGGAAGATTAACCGTGATTAAACCAAACCCAGTGTAGTTAACAATAGTTACATCTTCAACAACAAGATAAGCTATATCAGTGAGTACCAGTACAGCAGCATGATATTGGGTAAAATGAATACGAGAACTGGTGGAATTTATGATGCTAATGTTACTGCCTAAGGTAGTCAAATTAGTACCACAATTGATAAATTTGAGGCCACTCAATATCAATGAACCACTAGAACCATAAAATGCAAACCCTCTAGTTCAGTATTTGTCATATTGGGTTTCATTATTTGGCATGCACTTGATGAGTGCTACTGTATCACTGATACTGGTAATAGTGAGAGAGGAATTGCTTATGTTAATGTTACAAAAGCTACCTGAAGTGATTTCATGAGTAATGTTAGTAGCCAGATATAAAACTACTTCATTGCCATGGGCTTCATGTTGATAGTCACACAAAAGTTCCTCCAGTTGGTCTGTATAATTAACAATGACAGGACTTGCAGATTTCGCTGGAGGCAAAACACTAAAAAATAAAAGCAAAAAAGGGGCTATCATTTTGACTCTAGATCTACTAAGGGTGTGGCTCATTCTGGTCTCCTACCACTATGCTCAGCACCTAGCCTATCCATCTCATGAATTGCAGCACAGTAGCAGTGGTTGTCAGAGTCGAACTCAACTGGTGAATGTGGTAACTGTAAACTGTTGTTAGTTATAAATTTACGTAACATTTTGGGTAGATCTCCGATAGCGGATCATCAGTCCCCATTAGACTAGAGTACATTATCAATGATCGTACACCATCAATTTTCGGACACTTGTTTTAGGAAAACTATACATTGCCATCTCACGCAACTGCAAAGTATTATAGCAATAGTTATCCTT